CTTTCCCGCATTCGAAGTACGTACGAACGCGGAAGTTCATTTTCCTTCATTCTCGCCAGTGTCTTAAGTGTTCGTTCATTGTTGCTTTAGTGTTTGTTTGCATTGTTGTTGTTGGTGTCATATTTTTCTGCTAATCGTTCATTGCCATTATTAAGTATTTAAATTTTCTTGTCTCGTTTTTGAGTGCACTTCGAAGACAAAGTCATGGAATCATTAGCGCTAAGCTATTTGGTATAAGAAATTCTATGGAGCTTTAAGTTTATTAAATATGTTTAATAAAATTAACTTAATCTTAAGCAAAAGAGAAGAATGGTGTGCCATATATTGAAAGTAATTATTCAGAAAGTAATTAAGTTTGTTGACACTTAGAATGTAAACACAATAAAAAGTTATAAATAGCAAACGTGCTTAACAGCTTTTCTCGCAGACATAAACTTAAAAGTATACATATGCTTAGTTGTATGTATGGTAAGTCCTTACCAACACACACACTTACTTTACCGCCACCGCCACCGACACACTAACAACTTTAAGTCTGAGTGAGAAACTGCAACAAATCCAACAAATCCAACAAATCCGACTAAAGTAAAACTTCCTGAAATTAAAGTGCAATACCGGATACAGTTAAAATACCTTTGTATTTGAATAAAAGCTTCAGTTTAGCTATCAACACACACACATACACACACTCACACCCACACAGACACACATGCACTTGTTAAATATATAATATGAAGGCATTTTTATTCATATTTGTTACTGTATTTGTTCGCTATACGCGTATGTACGTGCATAAGTGCGGCTGCATAGTTTGTGTTGAAATTAAAATATGAAAAACACAAAAAGTAAAAAACTGTAAAAAAAACAAAATGAAAATGAAATAAAATAACATGAAGTGGCAAAATAAAAGTACACAAAATAAATATGAAAGAAAAATATTTATAAAAATAAGCGCGGTAAAATTTTTAAAGCCAAAACACACATGTAACACTTGTTCGCACACATGCACAACCGAACATGCTCGTAGCGCTTAAACGCTGGTGTGCATGTAACCACAGGAAACGGAAGTTGTTTTAAACACCAACTAAAAAGAAAAACATTCTGAATGGCAGCAGCTTGTTTATTTGCGCCCGCGTTAATTTAAATAAAAAAGTCACAAAGAACAAAAAAAAAAGAAAAATTAAGAAAAACAAAGTTTATAACTTCAAAATATCAAAATAAGTAAAAATCTCAAAAAAAAAAATAAATTCTAGCACACTTTCAAAAGTCCTTTTAGCTGGCAAAATTGCGTATAAAATGGCTAACAAAATAAACTGACTAACACAGCAAAACAACAGCGAAAAGTCAGTAAATAAATATATAAAGAAATAAGGCGGCTGCAACGTGAAATATTTACTACCGCAATGTTTTTTTCAAGTTGCCGCTCTTTTTTTTTTTGTTTAACTTTGAAGTGGCAACGCAATTTTGCAACACATATGCGTACGTACGTATATGCCACATAAACAGTGCCTAGTGACATTCACAAAACACTCACACAAATAAACGCAAACGTAAACGCAAACACACAAAGCAACAATAACACGGCGGCACTTAACTTCTGAATGCTTAAGTTTCATATCCTTTTCTACATCTGCTTCTGCCTACCTTCTACCTTTTCACTACAAAAATAAAAACAACAACGACAGTCAAAATCAAAAAAGAAAACAAAAAAAATTCGCTGGCATTTTTTGGTTTCATGTTTTTATCCTGCGTTAAGTTTATTTTTGGAAAATTTTGTATAAAATTAAACCAATTTTCATTTTTAACTTTTAAGTTGTTGTGGCAGGTATTAAAATGCTGTAATCGTAGTGGCTCTACGAGTATAAACGTCACACTCGTATAGAACAAAAAAACAAAAAAAAAGCATACGCTCGTTACCTAATAAAAATAATGAAAATATAAATAAAAAACTTAAACTTAAACTTTCTCAAGCAACTAAAATGAAGTCAAAATGCTAAGATTTTTATGGGTTTAAGTACGTAAAAGGATTTAAACTTTAGCAAAAGTTAGCTTATTTTTCATAATAAGCAAAAATTGTTGTGTGCGTGCTTACACGTTTATGGCTGCTTATGCGCCGTTAACGAGACTCGACAATAAAAATATGGCTACAGCGACGACGAAGGCGAAAAGACGAAAATACGAAAATACGAAAAAGGGATCAAGAGTTCAGCACACAAAAAAGGGTTTCCCCTGAAGTATTGTTAATTTGATATTGAAATTTAAATTTTATATATAGTTTACTATATATCTTATTATACCTATTTCCATTCGTACGAGCACATAAATATTGCAAGTATAAATTTTGGTCCTTGTTTGGTTTTTTTACTCCAATATTTATTTTTTCTTTTTAAGCTTTTGCTATGTAACAGATTTTTTTTATATAAATATTTTTATTGTCATGAAATACACACGCCTACCTTCCTCTTTTAAGTATTCCAGTATTTTAGTATTTTATGTAGCAATTTGTTATAGTTTATTTGTTAGTTTAACAATTTTATTCTGATAAGGAAGTATGAGTTTCGTATGGGGAAATGCGACGGAAATTATATTTAACCAGATATGGAAAAAATTTAAGTGACAGTTTTTATGGGAAATATTTTGTTTTAGTTGTAAGCAGTGTAGTTGTTGGTATTTTGAGAGATTAGTATGTCCCAAGCCATTTATAAAAATATTTATTGATCTCATATTTTTCATTAAACTGTTTTTCAAAATTATGTATACTTTTTATTTGAATTACTTATATTTTGTATAAATGTATATAAGTAAAATGTAAAATTGTATTTACTTATGTTTTGTATATTATTTCAGATTGAATAAAAATTTGTACTGTACTCAGCTTGGAAGTTAATATGTTATTAGACTCGTTTTTACAGTAATTAAAAATATGAAAATAAATATTACACATTATCATAAAGAGGTTTTTCGAACAGTAGTGAACGGCAACAACAAAAATTCATTTTTTATATTATTTTAATTAATTGAATTTTTGGCTTACCATACAACAGTTTCGACTATTGCCAAATACCCATCATCAGTGGTCTTGAGACTGCAAGTATCAGGAATCGAACTCGTGCCCTGCCAAATTTAAAGCCAGCGCTCCTTAACCAATTGACTCAAAGCCGTACTTGACTATAGTAATATAGTTGTTAGTATGATGTATACGAGTAAAAGCTGAAAAAAAAATAACAAAAAGTGTTGCTATACTAGATATACTAGATTGTAACTAGTACAATAGTGGTACTATGGTTAACTTCGTTAAATCAAATACCGAATTAAAACGACTAAACCTTTTATTACCATGTTTGTGTTAGATTTGTAGGCTCAATCTTCAATATTGTATTTCTTATATTACATAGAATAGTTTCTTAACGAAGTCTGGTTGGAATTCTGTACTCCGAAATTATTGACAAAAACACAATACTTAAACTTATATCAGAACATATATAAGAAATTTTATTTTTAATTATTCCATTTTTAGAACAAGCTTAGTTTTGCAATCACTCTTGCAACATATGCAACATGCTTATAATATACGTTCAAGCTTTTACTTAATTTTGCAGGAAATGAAGATGAGTTGGCCATATTCTTCTTAAAAAAATTTGCGAAAATATGTCTTGATCCCTTGTGTGTTATACTTCCATATAAGATTCCTGGCTGATCAAAATATAGAAACTTTGTAGTCATCCTATACTATAATACAGACTGGTAATATTAACCGAATAATATGTTTATCAATATAGAATAACAATAATATAGAATTAATTTATTTATATTTCAAGCATATTTACTTTCTTTCATTGACTTTAAAAAATATATTTAATTAATAATATAAATGTGATTAATTCGGTCTAAATTTTACTATGTAAAAAAAATTTTTTATGTACCACACTGTCTATTCAAATTTTTTTAAATAAACTTATTGTATCTCCTTTATATACTAGGAATAAATTCAGAAAAGAGTTTCTCCTCTTTTTGTGTTTATTAATTTCTTCATATAAACTAACTCTCTCTGTTTTATAAATTAAGAATTTATGAGAAAATTTTTTTTTCTTTAAATCTTTGTGGTGTTATTAATTCGAAATAATAAAGTGTTATTTAAAAATGTTTAAATCCATAATTAATTTAATTTTTTTCTTTTCACTTATTTTCAGATAACCACCAAACCATGATTACCTAAAAAAAATTAGCTTAAACTTAAACAAACCCATAAAATATTATAAAAAAAAATAAAAAAAATAATAATATTAAAGAAATAATAAAATTAAGTGCAATGCAAATCACAATGAAATCCAAAACCACCAGAATTAAAACTAAAAAACAATGAGTAACGTTAAAAGAAATTTAATTAAACTTAATGTGTTAAATGACTTTATAAATATTAAATAAAGCAGCCCACAAGTAAACTGAAAATAAAAAAGTAAATTAAGAAAAATCAACATAATTAAGTGAAACGCTACCACCGCAAACATTGCATTAATACACAAAACGACCACAAGATGACGCTACGCATTTCAGCCAAATTCAAAAATCATCTCGGCCTCATCATTTACGGCTTCGCGTTGCTGCTGATGACAACAACGCCGTGTAGTCAGGCAGGACGAATTTTCGGTAAGTAGGGAGTTTCGGAAGACCAAAGCCAACATACAGTGAGCAGCAAAGATTTAAGGTCAAATTTTGACCAGAATCGGAAAGCGCTGCTCACATAAACATACCATAATTGCTAATGTAAATAATGTATGCGAATAATTTTCATTAAGTTCCTGGTATTCGGTTAGTTTTTTTCGGTGGTGCACATAAAAAATGTACTTCTTCCTGTTATAGTTAATTAACACAACATTGCGTTACAGAATTTTTAATTAAACGCAAAATTGCGTGTAAATTTATTTATATTTTTTTTATTTTGATTTTCCGTTTATGCACAAATGTAATATTGCAACGTGGAAACTGGAAACACACCCATTGGTGGGATCCTGCAGATACTTAACACAAAATATTGTTTATTAGCTTGAACAAACTAGTCATGGCGGCAGCGAGTGGGCGTTTATGCGTTTGTTAGGTCAGCAGTTTCAAAATCAATTTATATATCACTTAATATGGACTACGTGAAACACTAATTGCTGTATATATCCTCTGCGATGGGGTGGACAGAATAACTGGCCCAATTTTAAATGCACCCAAACACGCGCGACTTTTTCTATGAAAAATAATTATAATAGAAAAATTTAATACCTTCCCGGAAAAAAATAAACAAAATATGGAAAATTATGGAGCATTATTAATTATGGTATTATTTTAACAACTTTTGTGTGTTCTCCACGTTTGTGTATTCAACATTGGTTTTAATAGGCATTCATTTGGCTGACATTGTTACCAATAATAGCTTTGATTAATACGAGTATGCAAACGATGTGAAAACTTATTGACATATTCACGAAGTCTCTTCTCTATGTGCGGGAAGCCTATTATTCACGTACCTATCTACGACGAGTACGTCTACTTGTACTCAGTAATTGTCGAATTATAATTAACATGTTGTACTAATTAAAATAATTAGTGTGTGAGTTAGCTTCGCTCCTTCTTCTATTCCAATTTTCACATTAAACGGGCGTTGTTGAATATCAGTCAAAGCTAATTTTAATTTTTTTACATAAGAGTTATCAATCGACCGCACTAGAGTTGTAGTTTTAATCAGTATTATGAACTTTTAATTATATGGAAAATAATGGAAATTATTACTTTGGAGAATACTCAAAATGTTGAAGTTTTATTCATATGTGTTATTACAAAGTTTTGTAAAAATTATAAAACTAAATTTTAATTATAACTTAAAGTATTAAAATTTATGTTATTTCAATTCATAATCGTACTTTAGGGTTTCCTTACAATACCCCTAATTTTGTTTTGATTTGCTTGATTTCATTTGAAATACAAATCATCTTTCATAATCGTTTAACAGTTTTCTTTATTTATATGTATATCACATATATATTATTATAATAGGTGTAGTCAAAAGCAATACATTATTTTTGCATGAAATTGAAGGCTTATTTACTGTCATAAGACTGATCCGATTTAAGTGAAATATCTGTCGCTTTTTTCGATAACTTCCAAGTGTAATGTCTGGACAGTTTAGTGTCATTATAGTACAGAACACTACTAGTGTGATCCATAACCCATACTACATGTATGTTATTTGCTTCAGTTATCTCACTGAGATATAAGTTCAGTATTATAATAATATGATTATAATTTTAAAGGTGCTCTTCGGAACTAGTGTCTACTTTGAACTCATAAAATGATACCATATTTTTGACAAATGATTTCATCCAACTTATTTATTTCACTCATAAGCTCATAAATCCTTCTTATGAATCAGTGCTGCCTTCGAACTCACAAAAGCAATGCATATTTTGAACAAATTTATGTAAAAGAGTTCCGCTGTTTTTAGTCCCAACAAAAATGCAATAATTATTTTAATTAAGCACTTAACATGAATTCATGAATTTAAAAAATTAATATTCAACATGCACAGTACATAAATAAATAATTTTTAAATGCTCAAAAAATCATTCACACTAATGGTTTTAATGACAAAAAAGTCCTTGAAATAAGCAGTCCTTAATATCTTTTAATTATAACAATTAAGTTCTATTTTATATAAAGTTGTATATTTCCCTGCAAACCCTCCATATACCAACGAGTTCTTCGTATCATTCGTAGATATGGTTTTAATTTAAACAAAGCCAGACATAAATATTTCCATAAAGCATTGTTTTGACTTCATAGCGTAGTACTATGAGTATTAAAAGCTTTAATATTCCTCAACAAAGTGGCAAACAAATATGCCAAAGCCTGTAGAAAATATGCAAAACTAAATAATAAACGAAAAATTCTTTGTGAATACACCTAAAAATAATGCCAGCGCACCTTTCCGAAACTTTTTTAAAACAGCCAAAAATTGGGACATGCCTGCTGCAATTTTAGTTTTACGTAGCCTTTCACACATTTGCATACAAACTACACAAACTACACAACCTACACAGTAAAAAAGAAATAAACAAAATATTAAAAAGGAAAACAAGCAAGTTCACATAAACTGATGCAAGCAGCCGTAAAGTAGGCAACAAAATGAGCGCAAGCATGAATTCTTACACACAACAAAAACGTAAGAAGGCCCGCCTCATACTAAGCCATTTTAACACTTTTTACACAAAAACTCGTAAATGGCAGGACGAGCTTTTCAAAAGGGCAGGAGCCAATAATGGGGCTATGCATGTTCGCGTCAGAAGTACAAAAATATGAAATTCCCAAATTGTATTTCATAGTTTTTATTCTGTAATATTTTTATTTGTTTAAATAAATGTTTTTAATTGATGAAGTTTTTATAAAATTTGGCTTTTTTATGCAATTCACACGTCTCTCATTGACGCTATAGAATTTTCTTTTGTGTGGGAGTATATGGAAGTGGGCTTATTTCATAATATATGTCCATTCATAACTGTACGTGTCCTCGTATTCAGAGCCAAAAGCTGACGAAATAATATTTCGATATATTTTAAACAATCAATTGGATAGTTTTATTCAAAAGCTAACCAATTTAAGCGCATATTTTAACACTAGCTATGAATAATGCGAAGTATTTAAATAAATTAATATTATTTTTGATCGTTTTCGGCATCAGTAAATACGTTAAAATAGTATAGGATCAGTAGGAATGGAAGTGCCAATAAAGCTTATAAAATCGAATATTTGTTATGAAATGTGAGGGACTTTAGTTCTCAAAAATTGCAATATACAGATTAAAAACACACTAATATTTCATTGTGAAATTTTTTAATAAAGTTTATGAATTTAATATTATTTTTAAATTCAAATTAAACAGAAATACAGAAAATAAGAAAATGTCTGCAAAAAAAACTTTAAAAAAATTGTCATTATGTTAGTTCTCAAATTTTATTCGAAACTTACAGTAATAGTTAGAAATATATACGAATATTTCTAATATGTTTAGTGGCCTTTGAAGTTTAAGGTCTGTAGTCGAATGGCTCTTCTTACTTCTTATCAACTACATATTATATATAATTTGGAATACATATGCGCCAAGAAGTATGCAACTATACGTTTTGAAAATGTCTGCCTTTTTATTGAGGAGTTCAATTTCTAACAACACTATTTCTGTGAACAGCTCTGAATACAAATGCTGGATTTTATTAATTCTGAACCTGCACAATCTTACATTTTTTGACTAAACATATCAACATACTTTTTGAAACAAATCACAAATATGAAATTGACATGCATATAAAACAAATCATTCTAATGGAGGATAGAAGACGTACCACACTTGATTCACTTTAAGATTAAAGTAATACTTATGACTTTTTTTGTTATATATGGATTTATTCATACCAGAACGACAGAAAACCATTGAGGCATACTATTTAGCTGCATTCAAGAGTTTGCTTAGAAAAATCGGGCAGAACTAGCAGAAGACCTACGAATCTTCCACAAAGAGAATGTTAACGTTTCCACTTAATTAATTTAAAAACACAATATCATTAATTGTGACATATTTTTGTTTATGAAGTCTAAACTGGTACAAGTTTCTGGTAAAACTTCGTGATATGACTCAGCCCAAATGAAAAAAAAAACAACTAAAACTTATTTTATGACTATAAAATCTTCTGATAAATGGCGTATTGTAATAGTGGGAATCTACAATAAAAGCATAAAATAAATAAAATATTCGAAATTTTTTTTATAAATAACTCATTTTCAATATCTAGTTTCATATATTTTTTTTTTGTATTTAATCAGTTATAAAGCACATATCAAATTTTATTTTGAGTATCATAACCTTTTAACTCATTTCAAACCACTGTATGGTGCACCATATGGCTAGCTTTGAATATTTTTTAATATGCAAATGGGTTAATGAAAATATTTAATGGGTTAATGAAAATAATACTAACTTCACTTCTATTTGACTTTCAATTGGTCCTTCTATATAAAAGTATATCAAGAAGAAGTCCTGAAAAACGTTTTATAAGGATATAGAAAAATGTCACACTTGGACTGATACATAATTATCCTTCACAATGATTTTAGCGAGATATGAGATACTTTTTTAGGCTGATACTTTTTTCTTTTTGTTTTATCGTTAATTATTGAAAATATTTTTCTGCTTTGTGCGTTGGCTGAGAATGTTGAAACTGAAGTCACACACCTCAAAGTATGCAATGAATTTTTTTCATTAAGTAGTCCTTTACAATCTCATTTTTACAACTGAAATTGAGCAATACATTTAACTTTAATATATGTTTTGTAGTATTCTATTTGAAAATATCCTAATTTAAACTAACATTGTGCAGCATAAGCACAAATTAATTTAAAAAAATAGAGTTTAGCTTTTAATGAGGAAAAATTTTCATATCAAATTATTGTTTTGTTCGTTTATGAAAATTTTGCATTTAAAAATACAAAGCTCTCTCATCATGGCATTGGTATCTAGTGTAACCTGTCAATTTAGTCCACCGCCCACTCCTTTACTAACGAAAACATTCCGTGCTTCAACGTGAAGAGTTTCTGTACCATCAGCAACTGATTCT